CAGGTTCTGTCTGCGGGCTCCGTGGTGCCAAAGGCGGCCCTGACGGCTGCCAGGAGCAGAGCTGCTGCCCTCCCCACTCGGTTTGAGGCTTGGAACCAGTGATGAGCTGCTTTGGGGCGTTTACATCATTTCCAAGTGGAGTGGAGCGGCCCTGAGGCCGTTTGCTGGTTCTGTAGGGAAGCGATGGCTCCCAGGAATCCTGCTCCTTGCAGGAATCCTGCTCCTTGCAGGGATCCTGCTCCTCAAAGGGATCCTGCTCCTCGCAGGGATCCTACTCCTCGAAGGGATCCTGCTCCTTGCTGTTACTTAACCCTTGCTCCCAGCTCTGGGTCAGTGGCCTCAGAGACCTGTCAGTTCTGATAACTGAAATCCAGCACCCAGAGGCACTGCGATGTTATGGTCACAAACTGGGACATGGGAGGTTCAACTTAAGGGAAAACTTCACTGTGAGGGTACAGAGCACGGCCCAGGCTGCCCAGAGAGGTTGTGGAGTCTCCTCCTCTGGAGACCCCCAAAGCCCTGGCCGTGTTCCTGGGTGATCTCCTCTGGGTGATCCTGCTCTGGCAGGGGTTGCACTGGGTGATCTGCAGAGATCACTCCCCACCCTGGCCATGCTGTGATCCTGTGATCCTGTGCCCTAACGCTGCCTGTTTTTCAGAGGTGGCGTATTCCCAGAGCACCGGCCAGAAGGAGCAGCTGAGCCGCTGCCTGCAGCGAGGTAAGAGCCCGTCGTTCTGTTTCCTTCACACCCCGATTCTCTCTTGCTGCTGCTCTGGTTTGTGTCGCAGGCTTCTCATGCTCCCTGATACGGTAAAAACCTTCAGAGCTGGCAGTGAAGCGTGAATTAGAGAGGCAGTTGTGTGTCTCCTTCCGCAAACTGCCTCACCTGAGGGACTGGGGAGATCCTTGTGCGTTGTCCGCAGGAGTGGCACTGCTCTGGTGCCTTTGCCCGGGGCAGGGTGGTTGCTGCCTGCGCTGTGATATTGAGGAGGGGTGGGTGTCAGACGCTGCTTGAGCTGCTCATGAAGGGCCGTGTCTCCTCGCAGGGATCAGGCGGGTCCAGGATCTCTGTAAAGTGCTGCAGCTCCCGACGGTGTTCGAGGAGACGGCGGTGTCGTACTTCCAGAGAGCTCTGCGGCACCCGTCCTTCCGCCTGGTCAGCCTGGAGAAGAAGGAGCTCCTGGGGGGCTGCTGCGTCTTCGTGACCTGTCGGCAGCACAACTGGCCCCTGACCATGGGGACGATCTGCTCCCTCCTGTACGCGAAGCAGGAGCTGTTCGCCAGCGTCTACCTGAGCCTTCAGAAGGAGCTCGAGCTCTCAGTGCCGGCCCTGAGCCTGGCAGACCTGGTGAAGACGCACCTGAACAGGTAACAGGGCCCCTTTCAGAGCCCTGCGTTTGACACCAGGGATGGCAAAGGTGCTGACAATGCGGCCGTGGGCAGGGCAGAAGCCCACAGACACACACAGGGTTCCCCGCGTTGTTGCTGGGTGCACTCAGGCTCCTGTCCTGAAGGACCTCACTGCAGCCAGGGCTCACGTGGAGCTGTGTTTCTGAGGCGCCGCGTGGTGAGGCTGCCCCGGCCCTAACCGCAGACGCTTTGCTCTTGCAGTTTTCGGCTCTTCCAGCCCGCAGCCGACATCCCTGGCACGTTTGTGGAGGACAAGGAGAAGATGGTCGCCCGAACGCTGCAGGTGGTGGAGCTGGCCAGCGAGACGTGGCTGGTCA